TCAATTTCGACATCACATATATTTGAAATATCATCAAATATTTCTCAAAATCTTAACCGTGATGTACTCTTTGGATTAGTTGATGGTGCATCATCATCTATACCATCATCTATTCTTGTTCAAGCTTCTTATAAAGAATTTCATATGGAACGTTTTTTTAATCTTTATCAATCAAATAATAAAAACAATCAACAACAAATACAAATAGAACCAATATTTCGTAGTTATTTATTGACATCATCTTTTAACCGATCATATCCATTTATACGAATATTAATTGGTTCAGTAAATGGATCATATGAACATATGAACATTAAACCGATGTGTGCAATTGTAACAGCAGTTAATGAACAGAATCTATATGAAGCACAATCTTGTTTCATAACACCTCAAACAGGTTATTGTTTAGCAACAATATCAGTATTAAAAATGGTTGAATATGTAAATAAAAATCAAACAAAAAATAAAATTGAACTTTATCTTAAAGTAAGAAATCAAAAATAGGCATTTTAATTATGAAAAGTCTCTTTGTTTTTCTCTCGTTAGCTTCATCATGTTGCATCAATGAATGAATGTATTTCTGATCATACACCAAAACAAAACCATATTCATCATGAAACACGTATTGGTCATGCTGAATATATTGATAATGATAATATATTATTTTCTACTATAACTCGTTCATCTATTTCAATTGATTATCCAATTGGTATTCACTATCCCGATTGGTATTTTCCCTTAAAACTGAAACTAATTATTTCATCTTCATTTTTATCATCATTTATAATACGTTGTCGTTTATTATCATATTTTTCTATTTATTCAATACAAACAAATATTCTTAAAATTTCAAATTATCATATTCAAATAAATCATCATATTTATCATCAAGAATCATTATCTGATATTGATTTTAGCATTAAAATAAATTCAATAAATAATACTAATCAAAATAATATATTTGAAATTGATGTAGCAACAATTATGTTAAGAATAAACTCAACAAATTTATATAAAATAAGTCAACATAATTGGAATTCTATTTTATTTATTGATTGGTTTATATTATCAAATAGTTCATCTCATAATGGTGAACCAATTTTACGTGTTCCTATTCATGTACAATATGATGATATTCAAACAATTGTTGCATTAACAGATTTTACAAGTTTAATCAATACAGCAATGTTATCAATGCAAATTCAACAATTTCCATTAAAAATTCTTGCAGTTAATTACTCAGGGTATGAAGGTTTTGCTTTGAATAAATAATTTATGAATTTTTTAAAAACTTTTTAAGGTCTATTCAATCTATATCGCAAGCAGTATGTCATTCAGAAAATATTTATCTAATTCAAGTTGATTCAACTTGTCATCATATATATTTTTCTGGTCAAGAACGAGATGATTTTTTTGATCAAATTAATAATCCAACATCAATTGTTATTCGTTATGAAAAATATCTTCAACGTTTATACTTTACTATTTATATTCCTGAAAGACCATTACGTATTGAATTAAGCGATACAAAATTATCTCGTATCAATGGATGGTTTGTTATAAAACGAATCGATGATGACGAACAAAAAAGTCAATCATTTACCGATGATTTCAACGATGAAGACGATGACGATAATCATGATGATGATGAGGATGATGATGATGATGTAAAATGTTATTCTGTTTATCAGCAATCATTTATTTATGTTTTTACAAAATTCTATCGAACTACTCAAAGTAAAATTTTATTTTCTCATCTCTTTAATCTCTATTTGAATTTTAGATGGTGATCGCATTTATTTATTTAATAAACTTAATGTTCTTATAACACCGCTTGTTCGTGCACATTTAGAAACCGATAATACACGTGTTGCTATTATTAAAGATGATCGAATTATTGGTATTGGACCAGGAAAAACAAACATTCGAGTAACTCATAAGAATATAAGAAAAAAAAAAAACTTAATTTAAAATTTTTTAGATTTATTCTTTTACAAATAAACTTCCAATGGGTTCAAAAGCAATTTATGTTGATGATCAAGAATCAGTGAATATAGAAAATATATCATTTAATCTTCTTACAAATATTGATTTCGAAGCAAATTTAATTGAACATATTGATCCAATTTATAAAGTTCATTTTCAAATAAAACCTAATTTTAATCAATTTAATATAGATAATAAAAATCAAGTAAAAATAGTTTTTTTCTTTTATTTCAAATTTTAATATGTGGTTTATATTTATTTCTAGTTTGGTCAAATTAGTGTTATCTTAACGTATTCTGATAATACTTCAATGTCATTAGATGATATACCATCTGATTATTATCAATTTGAAATTGATATGAGTCGTATAAATCCTTTATTAATATATATCAATGCGTCAAAATCATGGAAAAATTTACATGTTCGTCCATTAACTGCTCTTGGTCATACAACAATTCATAGTCGTCTTAAATTAGGTCAACAACAATGTATAGATGATAGAAGTTTTTCTCAATACGATCTTTCTTGTGAAATAATTATTTTTTCAAATAAGATTCGTTCAGTTAATAATAGTTTACATTCATTACCATATGACCGAACAAATAATTATGTTATACTAAATAATAATAATAATAATAATAATAATAATAATAATAATAATAATATTGATCAACGTACAAAGACATCTCCATTTCTTATAGCATTATCAATTTTATTAGGTACATGTATTGTATTAGTTCTTGTTTTTGTTTTACATTGGTTAGTTAATTTTTATTATCGACAAAAATCAAGTAAACAATCAAGACAACGTCATTCAACACATAGTGGTGCTGAAGAAGTTAATCATGATTGGATATTTCTTGATAGAAATTCATTAGAAATGCCAACAAAACAAACACAGCAACAAGAAAATTCATCATCAATACATAATTCAACACTTCATATAACACCAAATCCAATAATTAATACATCAACATTACCACAACAAAAAGATTTATCTGAACTTACACATTTACAAATGATTGCTTATTTTGAGAATCTTAAAGAATCTCATGCATAAAATATTTCTAATATTTTGTTTTTGGCATCAACACCGGTGTCATATATATTTCTAGTCATTAATATATGCAGTGAATTTCTAATTATATTGCCAGACAACAGACAGTGAGAGTATATTATCGCATTATATATTATATGATCATGCTCAATTAGTCAAATATATACATATATCTATTTAAGATTTCATTTAACATTTTATGACAAAAATTTTAAACTGATTTTTTTTTAATGTTGTGCTTTTCATACGATTTCCTTTCTTTTTTTTTGTATTAATATTTTAAGTTAGCTTTTTTTCTCTCTTCCGTGTTCATTATTGAACATACATGGCAGTTTGTATGTGTCTTATTTTCATCATTTTTGTTTTTTTCTCGCATATAAAAAAGCCGTTGAATATAGACTAAAATATTCTAACAATCTCAAAGAAGACAATAAAATGTCTATTTACGCAATGTATATATGTTTATTTTGTCTTTGAAGAATTAGGTGTAGCTGGTGGATTTTGTTCTTCACCATTTGACCGTTCAGATATTTGTTCTTTATTAGGTGTTGGAGGAGGTTGATCTGTACTAAGTGGTGTTGGTGGAGGTGGATCATATTGAGTGCCAACAGAAGGTTTTAGTTCATGTTGAAATCGTTCATAATAATTCGGCGAAATTTGTTCACTAGTTTGATATGTTGCATTTATATTTGGTTGTTGATATGAATTAACACTGTATTGTGTATTAATTTGTTGAATCATATCTGGTGGAGCCATTCGACCTACTAATCGAATAGTACCTAAATTTTTAATACCAAAACGACTTAATGGTTCATTAGGATATGGATGTAATTCTTGTCCATGAAAAACAAGATTTTGTAATGCTCGTGGTACACGAAAATCACGTTCAACAACATTCATTAAATCTGTAACAGTTGGTTCAGCACCATTATATGCTGGCACAGATATTTCATGTATATCACCACCAAAATGAAGTTGAAGTTTTACACAAAAGACGCGCGGTTGATACATTACTTATTCTATCAGAAACATGCAAGAATGTAGTAACAATTCGATTCTTCTCGACTTTTATTTCTGTTTGCAAACAAACAAAAAAAAAGTGTTGCTTGACGGTGTTGCTATTGGAGTTAAGAGGTGAAAAAAAAGAACGAAAGAAAAGAAAAAGGAAAAGAGTATTTATGTTCTTTCTTTTGCCATACAATATTTTATTGTTGGTAGTTATAACAAAAAAAAATGAATGATTGAAAAGTTTTATTTAAAAACAATACAACAATAACAATAGTAATAACATTTTCATATATCTATTCCATGTCAGACAATTGTTCATCTTCACTTAATTCAAGTTCATTGTTTTTTTTCTTGTTTAATTTTTGTATTTTCTATAAAAGAATAAAATAAAAAGTCACGAACCCTTATCTTCACTATTTTCTTCAAATCTACTGCGAGAAGAGATCTTCAGAGTAAAACTTAATTCTATTTTCAATATAATTATTCATATATCGAAACTTACAAGATGTTAGGATGCACAGAACTCAAAAATTTCGGAAACTTTTTTTATACATGATTAAATTGAGTGAATTGAATTTGCTTTGAATAAGTGACTCTCCAATTTTCAAAAGTCTCAAATTTTAGATTTCATTACAAAAGATGTTAATTTTTCATACAACCGTAAACATCATAATTTTTCATTAGATCCAATTGTATAAATATCTTTTTTCCGTTTTGCGACAGAAAATTGACGAAAAACAATATTCACACAACTGAACCAAATGAAAAAATTTTTATATAAATTTATATGATTGTATGAAAAAGTAGCATTTTTTGTGATGAAATCTGAAATTCGAAATTTTTTGAAAACTCAAGAGTCATTTTTTTCGAAGTAATCGATGCGCTCTATCGAATCATGCATAAAAACATGAAAACAAGATATTTGCAAAAATTTTGAGCTACGAGCACTTCAAATAAAATAAAGTATTCTTACATTATATCTTTGTAATCGTCGTTGTTTTTTCAATTTACTATATTCTTTTGCAATGTCATCAATATGTTTTTCATTTTCAGCAAGTTCATTTTCAGCACCAAGTATTCGTTCATTTTCTGCTTGTTCCCGACGTAAACGTTTTAAACGTTTTTTAAGTTTGTTTTCTTTTTTTATCGAAAATGCAACGGTCTATCAAATATAAACAAGAGCAAGCATCGAATCGACTAAAGAAAATTTTTTCTTCTTTACTTTAACACGTTTTTTTATTTTCATGTTTGGATCTTCTTTTTCCATTTGTCGTTTTTTTGCTAAACTTTTATCTCTATCAAATAAGAAGTAAAATATGAATCTTGTTCTCAAAGATAAACTCAACAAATATGTACTTATATGGAATAGATTCCGGATCAATTGGTTGATTTTGTTGATTAAAATTTGATGTATCACGATTTTTTAATTCAGGCATTTTTGGTAAATGAAGAAGTGCAAAAGCACCTTGAGCAACTCCACATAAATCAAGTTCTTTTAAACGTAAAAGAAGTGAACACTCATGTTTAGCATAAGCTTGGACATAAGAAACAAATGCTTGTTTCGATCGATCATAAATAGCTCTAATGAAAATCAAATAAATATTTAATATATACATATATACTAGGCTCGGAATACTCTACAACCTTGTGCATTTTGTTTTGAGACTTACATTGAGTTGCTGAAAAATATTTTGACTGCAATGAATAAACCCTTGTCTTCAGATTGCCACAAACTGCTTTCTTAAGACTTTTTTGGTTTTGATTGAAATTATAGAAACGTCATTTCAAAACAAACGTAAGTATAACTTCGAATAGTACATTTAAATCTTTAACATTCGCTATCCTATCAGGTTTGATTTACTATTATTTGCTGGCAAATATATCAAATCTTTTTTTTTTATTGTACTTGTATTTCTACAAATTGTATTTTATATATCTTCGAGTGAGTGTAGTATGGACTTTCTTTTGTATAAGGGTTATACAACCTGACACGCTATAGTAATGAGATTATGACTGACATGTAAGTGATTACTCATAAAAGTTATGCGGCTATTAGATAAAAAAAAATATACTGCGGTTGTCTCTAATGATGTGACAGTGTAGTTACAATAAAAAAAGTTTAATACAACAGATGGCGTGGATCAGAGTATCATTTTCTTTTTGGATCATTCCAATAAAGTTTCATAGAATAAATCTATAGTTATTCAATAGACAATTTTTCGCTTCACAAAACTATTTTATTTGTTTTTCAAATGAATTTTTCTCGTTGGAACGAAATTAAAAGTATGAACATTTACTCAATCATCTAAGTAGGATTTTCAATTCTCTGCAAATATTCATCAATTTTTGTAAGTATTTGCTCATAAAGATCAATCCAAAAAGAAATTCAGTTAAAGTCAATGACTAGAAAAATTTGTGTTGTTCACATAGAGAATTAGTTTATTAAACTCGGATGTAGAATTTAATATTCAACAAAATATTGTCACTGATAAGTCAAAGAGTACAAACAATTAGATTTTATCGAAATACACAAGGAGTAGTCATATAATCCTGTCAGACAAGTCTTTTTTGCCTTATTTTCCCAATTTTTCACGTCATAATTGTTCTTGAATATGCTTCTTTTGAAATTTTGAAACATATCAAAAGATACAGAATTGGATGATACGCTAGCTATTTTAGAAAACCGTTGCTAAAATACTATTCCTATCATTTTTTCGTCTTTTGACCGTCTTAATTGAAGGATTGAGTACGTATATCTTAAAATTTTCTCCCACAAACAAAAACTGACTTGAAAACAAATGCAACAGTTCTGTAGAGCAATAATTCTCTACTGGATGCTTCTCTGAAAGTGTATCTGAGTATCAAAAAAACACTAAAGAACAAAATATTGTTCTGTTTACTTTGTGTCACTCGTTACTTCCGAACAAATAACTGTCATACAACACTCACAAGATAGACAACTGTTAGAGAGTTTAATGCACTATCCGAATTTCGAATTACGTTTTTCCCAAAAAAAAGATATTACTGCAATTTTAATAAAAACTAAAAACCCCATAAGAAAGCAGTTGTTGGAACTCCGAAGACAAGAGTAGATTTACTGTGATCAGAATATTTCCCAGAAGTTCAATATAATCATAAAACCAAATAGACAAGGATGTTATATCAGAATATATATATATATAAGTTTTTGTTTTAAATAACTCTTACTTATCAGTAGTTGCTAATTGTCGTACGATGGGTACAACATTTTCAATAGTTTTTATATCGGCTGTCACCATTTCACTTAATGGTACTTTTTGACTATTGAGAAGAAAATTCACATATGCAGCTTCATTTGGTAGAAGCATTAAAAGTGCATTTCCAAGTCTACCAAGACGAGCTGTTCGACCACAACTAAAAAAAAATTAATAAATTATATTGAACATTTATTAATCTTTACCGATGAACAAATTGTACAACTGTTGTTGGTGGATCAAATTGAATAACCCAATCAACATCAGGTAAATCAATACCACGTGCAACAATATCTGTACATAAAAGGATAGTTGTTGTTGTTGTTGATGTTTCAGTACGAAATTGTTCAATAACAGTTGAACGTTTATTACGTAATTTTCGATGTATTGAATAAATTTTTGTTGATGTTGATGAGCGAAAAAGATATTTAAGTATACTTGCAAAATATTGTACACAAGCACATGTAGAAAAAAATATCATTATCTTAGCTGGACGATGTTCATTTATAAAATGAATTAATTGACTTAATTTTTCATTTGGTTCACATATCTAATCAAAGATACATAAATAAACAAACAAAAAAATTTTTCATGATTCTTATTATTTATATTGAAAAAAAATTAATTACCATATAAACATTTTTTAATGATGATGGTGTACGTTGATCAGCAGCTGAGCCAGTTTGTTTAACGGTTATTCGTACAGGATTTCGAAGGCCAGCACGAATTAATTTTTCTAATTCATCGGTTTGAGTTGCAGAAAATAAACCGGTTCGTCTTTGTTTAGGAAGAGCATCGAAAATGGCATTTAGACTAGAAAACAAATCATGTAAATTTTAATCTGTACAAAAGTCGTTAAATGAAACTATTAAAGAAGATATATATAGAGCAAAATCTCCTTACAGTGAACATCCTTTGGAATTTAAAAAATTGTCCACTATAGGGAGTAAGATACTAAGCTGTACAGCATCTTGTTACATCTCTTTTAATGTGTTTGAAGTTTTGAGATAGAAAATTGATCAATGATTGCGTTTGATACTTTTGTTCGACTTGAAACAAAATCAGAGAATTTTCAGCGATGGTGAACTTCGATGACACTATTTTTTTAGCAAATTATACTTGTTGGACATTATTTTCACATTGGTTCTTCTCTAGATTGATATTCCTGTGCTGCTTTACGGCAGCGAGGTGTGGTCAACAACAACAACTCAAGAACAACGTCTCAACACTTTCTATTTCAAATGTCTTAGGACCATAATCGGAGTAAATCTAGGAGATCGTATGCCAAACGAACTACTTCTACAACTCACTGGACAACCACATCTACGCGACATTCTCATCAGAAACCGGCTTCGTTGGTTTGGCCACGTAAACAGGATGGAGGATGAAGACAAGAAATCGTCGATGGTCAAGAAAGTTATGTTCTCCTATTTTCCTCAATCAACTAAACCAAGAAATATGGGAACGCGGAAACGGTGGGAAGATAAAATCATGGAAGATCTTGAAAAATTCAACATACGTAATTGGCGACGAGAAACAATGGACAAAAACAAATGGAGGGAAACAATCAACAGATTCGCTTTCTCAAAAGAGCCTTCTTCAAACATCACAGAAACAGTTAAAAAATACAAGCAGAAAGCAGATAAGCGCCGAAATATAGGACCTCCTCCAAAGGTGACTGAAACTTTAACTAAGCATGGATACAGAAACACAGATGGTACATATACATGCCCAAACTCAAAGTGTACTCGAAGAACTTTCAAAGCACAAGGTATTACAAAACATGTGAAGGCCTGCGCAAAACAATGGTGCACACAAAACAAAATAGACAACTAATAATGGTATGCAAACAAGACGAAAAAGCTGAACTTCTTTACCAAGTACTTCATGATGGATATAACCCAAACCACACTCACAAAGTATGGAGGTCATATGCGGAAAACGGCACTTGGTTCTGGTGTTCTACGATGGTCAAACAAGAAATCACCCGAATGAACATTTTTCTTTTTCTTTTTCTCTATCTTTTTTCTTTTTGTGCGTATTTTTTGTAATTTTTTGATCTTCACCCAATACTAGCATGGTAAGGGTATAATAAACTAAACTAAACTAGATTGATAACATCCTATAAACTAACTGCTTTAGTGCACAGAATATGTCAAAGAATATGAGAGCTGCAATGTTGTTGATCTGTAGAAGTACCGCTTCGGCATAATACTCTCTTTTCATCTTATGATTCTAGCAAACCAACGCAAATACAACACTACTCTTATATCTCTTTCACATAATGATTTAACACAGAGACCGTATTCTTTTTTTGTGTGATACAAACATTTAATTAATTATGGAAAACTATTATCTTCTGTGTTCTATCATAGTCACCACGAGATTCCCTACAAAGTCATACGTAATGTTCATTGGAGCACTACTACACGAGTATCTGACTCATCAAACGATGGGTTTTGTTGCCATATCAATTAAAGTTTTTTGAATTTTAAAAATAACTTTACTAAGAATACATATTTACCTAGTTAAAAATCCCAAATCTAATAAACGATCAGCTTCATCCAAAATGAGCATTTCCTAATAAAAGAAAAAATTCAATTTTAATTTATTTAATTAATTTTTATCAACTTACAAGACTTTTAAGATTTGAAATAAGATTAAATGAAGTATTTTTTATTTTAAGTAATTCTTCAAAACGACCTGGTGTTGCAATAACAATTGTTCCACCATTCTTTTGAAATTGTTCTATATCATATTCATGTTTTGTACCACCAACAAATAGAATACATGAAAAATGTTTTTGATCATTAAATGATTGAATAAATTCATTGGTGACCTCAAATGTTTGTTGAGCTAACTCACGTGTTGGTGATATAATTAATGAATGTATATGATATTTATCAAAATTATTATCATTTGTATATTTTTTTAAAAGCATTTCAAGTATTGGTACAATAAATGCAAGTGTTTTTCCACTACCAGTTACAGCTTCAACACAAACATCTTTATGTTTAAGAAAAAGTGGAATTGTTATAGCCTAGATTGAATAATTTATACATCGTTCTTTTATTCGTTTTATTAAACTACCTGTACGGGTGTCATTTTATTGAAACTTTTTCTTTTTAAAAATTTTAAAATTTTTGGATTTAATGTTTGTAGCCAACGATCAGTAAATGTTTCATTATTTTTACTCATTGTTGTTTTCTTTTTTATCAGATTAAATCTAAAATAGGATCATAACATGCGAGGATATACTCTTATTCTTTTTATTTAATGGTCACTACGTTGTTTTGGTTGGACAAATGTAGATTCATTTATACATAAGACAAAAAAAAAAAGAAGAAAAAGAAACTATATGTCTATAATAAAGCTTTATCGATAAAGATAATCAGCTTGAATATTAGCAGCTATTTCAGCTTCCCATTTATCGCCATTTTGAAGTAGTTTTTCTTTATTATAAAGTAATTCTTCACGTGTTTCTGTTGAATATTCAAAATTAGGACCCTAAAATATTATTATGCAAGATAAAAGATGATAAATTAAATTAAATTTTACCTCAACAATAGCATCAACAGGACACGCTTCTTGACAAAAACCACAATAAATACATTTTGTCATATCAATATCATAACGTGTTGTTCGACGACTACCATCTTCTCGTTCTTCAGCTTCAATTGTAATAGCCTAAAAGAACCCATTATACTTCAATTTTTTATATGAAAAACATTGAAAGATAAATCTTAATTATTAAAAACACCAGATTCATTACGATAAGAACTAAAAATGCATTAATTAGATTATAAACTTGCACTAGCAATGTTCATTAACTAGATTAAATATGTATTTTCAAGAGCTGTATCCAAAATTTTACTAATAATCATGTTAGAAAAACAGTTTTACAACTAATGAGTAGAGAACTATCCAAAGGAATTCATGACTTTTCAACTGATATGTTGAACATATAGAGAAGGCTTCAACAACAGAGAAGCTCTGCATGGATTCATACTTCTAAGTTTTTTACACAAATTCAAGACAGTTTTTGCCGAATTCTTATTATAGGGTAAAGTATTAACAAGAAAACAGAAAAAAGAATTTTTTGACTTGAAAATTTGTCTATAACAACGTCTTATGCATTTAAGGCTATACAAAAATTTCGACCCCTCTCAGTAAATCGATATCTGTAACAAACTTATATGAAGTTATTGGTCAAATTATGTCATTTTGTAGAGAACGATTAGAGCTATCATTTAAAAAAAATAGTTCGAAATACATAAATTTATTACAATATTATGGTCATTTTACAAATCTTGAGTGCAAATTTTTACGTTACAGTTTTTGAAAAAAAAAAACAAAAAAATCTAGAATATGTGTATCGTTAAATTCGAGCCAAATATTATTTTCTATATGTTTTTAATAGATATTTTTATATACTTCGTTAGAGTTCAATAAGCTCGACAAAAATATGAATATCAAAAAGAATTTGAATCCTGTTTCCACTAAAAAACTCGAATAAAACCACGCAAACTAATGAAAATCTTACATATATTTCATGAGATAATATGCTCAAATTTCAAAAACTTTAGTTGATCGACTATAAATTGATGTTTCGAGATGCAGTGTTACATATTGAAGCTGAAAATACCTCTTCTGAGCTGCCGAAATAGATGAAAAGTCAATCAGCTAACACTTTTGAAAGATCAACTTACTCTCTCTGATATTTGATACATGAAATTTTTATTAGTTTTTCTGATTTCCTTTAGTTTTTATATAGAAAATAAAATCAAATGTGTTGTAAACATACATATTCTTGTACAGCTGTCGAACTCTCTCGAATGATGTAAAAATATCTAGAATACAATATGCTGCTTAATATTGTTACAAACAGATTTTGTTTTTTCAAAAAATGTAACGTAAAAATTTGCACTCAAGATTAGTAAAATGACCATAAGATTGTAATAAATTTATGTATTTCGAACTGTATTTTTTTTTCAGATGATAGTTCTAATCTTCCACTAAAAAATGACATAATTTGATCAATAACTTCATATACGTTTGTTATAGATATCATCGATTTATTGAGAGGGGTCAAAACTTTTGAATCATCCTTTAGTAATATTCCGTGATCAAACATGGTCTTTTTCTGATGAATTTTGGAAGATAAATCATCACAATAGAGAAGGAAATGTTTCGATGGAAAATTTAAGAGTATTCTTAGAACGTTGAGATCTAATAATAGACAAAATTTCAAATCGAAAATCCTGCGTTCAATTTTTTTTGTAATGCCTTATCCTATAATACGAAAAATATCTAGCAAAACTGACATAACTTTGTGCGGACAGCCTATGAATGTCTGAGTGATTAATTACTTCGTACATTTTCCTTCATATAAATAATATGAAATAGAAAATCCGAAATATATATATATAACGGGTGGGCCGAAAGTTTTTGAGACAAAATGTTTGTCCACTTTTCACCACTTCAAAAGTATTCTAGATGAATGCAAAAAGGTGGATAAGGATCAGAATTTAATGGTCTTTCCGAATATGAGTTCAGATTGTAAGGGAGAAGCAAGAAAATCTTTGAAAGGCATAAAAATATAGTCTGGACAAAATGGTTGAGTCGAATCATTTGGACAATATTCTCTTTATTTTTGCCCTACGTAAAACTATTGTAGAGGAATGAAAACTACAGGTTATGATCGGAATTTTGTGCTCTTTCTGAATATGAGCTCAAAAATATTGTATTTGATTTTATACGAGAGTAGTGAGACAATCTTTGAATATGCCCGAAAATTGGGTTGGTTAATGAACACATCGGCATTTTTCTTCTGTGAGTCCTATGCGAGGATGCTAAAAACGGTTGAGTATGGTAATTTTGTAGAGCAGACAGTCCTCTACAAAATGGGATGTCCAACTCCAATATAGCTTTTACACAAGTAAAATTATAGACATTTTCTGAGAAGCTATTTTTATATAAGATGAATTTTGGTTAAAAAATCGAATTTTTGAAAAACGAGGGTAATAAGGAAACGAAAATTTAGATGATTTGTAAGAAAATAAAAAGAAACTGAAATAGCGCATTTTATAGGGCAGAATTTGCTGTACAATCTGATATATGAACCAAAGTTACGACATTAAGTTTTGAATTAGAACAGTAAAAATACAATAATGTACAAAACATATTTTTGTCCAAACTAACTTTCAAAGCAATTCAATGATTTCCTCATTGCTTCCAAACAAAAATAGGCACAGAATTTCTGAACTCATATTTGGAAAGAGCATTAAATTCTGATTCTTGTCCACCTTTTTGCATCCTTCTAGAATACCTTTGAGGCGGTGAAAAATGGACACACATTTTGTCTCAAAACTTTCGGCCCACCCGTTATATATGCTAATAACTAATTTTACTAAATCTTCGTAGTAACATTTCTGAATTATCTTGAATATTTTTCATCAGAAAAGTAGTGATAATTCCATTTGTTTTTTAAATATATTCAAGACTTACTTGAGCAGGACAAATAGCTTCACAAAGTTTACATGCAATACAACGTTCTTCACCAGATACATAACGACGCAGAGCATGTTCACCACGAAATCTCTACGAAAAAAAAGAATCTTTTCAATTTACAAAAAGAAAATTGCAACAACAAAAGTTCATACTGGAGAAAGTGGACCTTTCTCAAATGGATAATTGATTGTTGTCGGTTCACGTAATAACCAACCAAGAGCAATCATAAAACCTAATGAAAATCAATAAAAACAAGTCTATATTAAATTACTAACAAACCTTTGAGTATATCTGTCCAAATAAGTACTTGAAGACCACGTTTTGTTGTTTGATACATATCAAGAGATGGTAATGGATCACTAATGTTAACTAATCGAAAACGTAGATCAAATTTTATAAAATGACAAAAGAAAAACAACTTTACCATAACATTTAAGAGATGGATCTTCATTTGCTTTATATTCTTCAAGTGCTTTTTGCTGTTGTTTTTCGAGATGAGGTGGAATTGAACTTTTAAATGGTTCTGGTGGATGATTTTCAGATTTTTTATCGCGAACAAAAATTGATCGAGTTATTACCAATCGTGGAATACCTTTTTTTAACGAATATATAACCAATAAATTAATCATACAAAAAGAAAGTCTTATTTATTTACTCACCAACACGTGAAAGATTCGTAAAACTTGACAACATGATTTCTTTTTCTCAACAAAATTCTATTTTTTTCGAATAACAATAAAAAAAACTAACAAACAAACTCAATCGAGTATCAATTGTAATTATATCCAGAATCTATGATTGTGGCGCCCTCTTATACTAAAAACAAATTTTTCTTAATAAAATCAATTGAAACTTGTAATAAATACAAATATTCTTTTCTAAAAAATATTGAAATGAATTCAATAGATTATTTATTTTTCTTCTTTAATAATTTCTTATTGGTTCATTATCTCAAGATAGAAAGAGAATGAAAAAAAAAACACACAGAATCAATGACGTCATGTGTACTATGCTTTGCATTGCTCATGATATTGTAACAGAAGCTTTTTCTTGCTGAGAAAGGTACAAATCTGAATAAAAGCAAATTAGGGTGTGCAGAAAAAAATTCTTTTTTTTTTGTATTAAAAAATTAGATTGAGAGAAGGAAAATCTATATTAAGAGACTTTTTTGTGCAAACAAAACAATCTTCATTATCGTTCAATTACCTTTTATTATTCTCAAAACAAAGAACTAAAAAGGAAACTAAAGATAAAATAATTTCAATTAAAACTAACGAAGTCTCGAAAGATGACTCATCAGATTAACTAGTCTAGGAACATATCGGTCAGCTGTAATAATAATGACTCACACAATGATGTTTTTTTTTTTGAAGTAAACAAAAATAAACAGCAAGTCAGGGTGATGTCATCAGAATGGCCCGATACACAATTGTCAAATATACAAAAGAGTAAGCAAATAAAATATGTCAAATTTTGTTTATTTTTTTTTTTAAATATTTTAGCTTTGCAGAATAGTTGGCAGATTCCATATATATCTTTATATGCTCGAATTTTTTGTGATGCTTTTCAACTCTTCGATTTTCACCAAGAGGTTAACTATAAAATATTTAATAGAAAAAATTAGATTTTTATTTTCTTTTGTTTCAAGGAATTGGAAGATGCTTTATTATCTGATAATCCAGATGAAA